TAGTGAAGTGACTAATGCATTGACAAATTTTGATTTTAGGAGGAAGGATAAAGAATCTTCCAGAGTTAGTACTTTAGGAGAAGCCTTGTCGATTAGAGAAAGAAGTCTGTATCCTAGAGGTAGTAATTAGGGCAAGTCAAAGTCAAGAGGGCACTCCCAAATTGCGAAAAACCAATGTGCTTTCTGCAGAGAGCAAGGACATTAGAAGAGAAATTGCCCGAAGCTAGGAGAGAAGGAGAATAGTAAGAAGAAGGGCTCGAAGACCAGTGAGGTGAGTGTTGCTAAGAGTGGTTTAGAGAAAATCTTTTGGGCTGAGTGTAAAACCCCGTGAATTTTGGAAAATAGTATGAATTATATTGATAAATGAGTTCTAATTATGATGAATATAATTTATGGATGAATAATTATGCTAACAATTTATTTGAGATTAATTAAGATTATATATGATAGTATACAAAGGTTAAACATGCACAAAGAAGAAATCTAGAAAAATATCTAGTTAAAAGTATTTCTGCATTACATACTAATACAATTTGAATCGAGAAAAAAATAAAAAGATAAAAGTTGTAGGTATCTTTAATATATTTTCAACATATCTTAAATTGCCTCATTCTGAGATCGTACGTGAAAGTTACAGCTAAAATACCTAAGACTATTTTCCTAGTCTGACTAGATTTCCTGTTTCGAGTTTGGGCTATTTTGATTCGGGTTTGTAGTTATATATATACATGTTTATACATGAAAAATATTTTTTATTAGTATTCCAAATCTTAGCAGCCCCTCTTCCTCTCTCTTAAACTCTAATCATAATTTGTGAGATTTGGGAGAGTTCTTGAGGCGTTTGTCGAGAGGAAGGTGGGATTTGCGACTTTGGTGAAGAGGGATCTTGCATGCACGTGTTTAAGAGTTCAACATGATGTTTAAGGCAAGATCATATTTCTCCAAATCTTTTCCTATAGTTAATTCAAGATTTAATATGTTTAATTGATGAATCTCATATTTAAGCTTAACCCAATATTTTAAAATCTTAGTTTATCATGTTAATCTTTAAACTAATGTAAAAATATGTAGTTTTAGTTGTTGTTTATATTAGTTTGATGATCATGATCATTAGGAGTTGTATTTAATTTTATTTTTAACTTATTAATCATGCTTAAATCATGTTTAAACCCTAGTTTAATAATTATTTGAGTTTTCTTGCTAATTAGGTTGATGATACCTAAGTGATGTGAGCATGTTTAAATGAATGTATCTCTGTTCAATGTTTAGAATTTATCATGTTAACTTAACCATATTTATAAATTAGGTTATTTGAGAAATTTTGATTAATTAGGATGTTAAACTCTAATTAGACCATATTTATAAATTAGGTTATTTGAGAAATTTTGATTAATTAGGATGTTAAACTCTAATTAGTTTAATTCAAGTGTTTATATCATGGTTATTTGAGAAATTTTGATTAATTAGGATGTTAAACTCTAATTAGTTTAATTCAAGTGTTTATATCATTATGACTTAAATCCTGTTAAGTAATTATGAAAGATTTAATCTTGTTATATGTCTCATGTTGATAAAAATAAGTTTTTAAATAAAGTTATAAAATACAAAGCATCAGAAACCTAAATGTGTGTTTTCATCTCTGGCCAGTCGACCGACCAAGATTAGCCGATCGACCGGTGAGTCCCTAAGCGTGCACATTGTGTGCACAGTTGCTTTTGATCGACCGATGCCCTAAGAGTGGTCGATCGACCTATGTTCTCTTTTGTTTGAAGTGTTATTTTTACACCTTTTGTTTTCGAACGCGGGGTTTGAGGAGCATGATGATACACGTACAATCATGAGTATACACGTATAGTGTCGTAGCACATACATGAGTATCCCGAAGAGGATTAATACAGTTATCGTTTCAATTACACTAGGGATATGAGTTATTTAAACATTATATACATATATGGATATCGTTGATGAGCACCACTCAATACTACTTGGGATAGTGCATCGATATATAATTAGTACAAGCTATTGCATCGGGTTTTAGGATGCTTGATCTAGTAGTTTGTCCCGCATGTAGATACGATGAGGTTTGTGAGCCATATACTTAGGATGCCTGATTTGGTGGTCCGTCACGCACGTTGATGCGATGAGACTAATGAGCCGTGTACACTTTTAGGATGCCAATTTGGTAGTCCGTCCCGCATGATAATGTGATGAATTATAAACTTTGTAATGATTTGCATTGTGATAATTATCTGATAGCCTAAGACTTGGTGAATGTCATTATGAACATGACTCATCGCTGAGTTATATATGACCAAGATACTTTACTCTTTTAAGTACGTGGGATTATATGCAGTTGTTTACATTATCTTTCCAAAGGATAGTGAAAGATATTTTTGGTCCGATATTTGTGATGACTTTACTTCCTTGTATTGCTTTCCTTTATTCCTAATTTGGACTTGATAATTAGTGATTCATAATTTGAGACATATTGTATATACATGAGGGTTTTCTTATTTGGATTATTTTGCTCGACGTACAAGTTTCATGTTATGAGTTTCTAATTATTAATTCTATTTAGATTGTTTATTCTTAGTTCGGTGTTGATATTTAGTTATCTATAATTTGAGATATATGGTATATAGATGAGGGTTTTCTTGTTTGGATTATTTCGCTCGACGTACTACGTTTTGTGTTGTAGGTTTCTAAATATTAACTCCTTTTTAGATACAGGGTAAATGATCTAAGTAGACTGTGCGTAATAGATAGAGCATCCATCGCATCTAGTAGTCCTTCATCTGGGGGCGGATGGAGATGATCTTGCTATAGCGCTCTGATGCTCTTATTGTTTCTTTTTTTTATTTTTCAATTTTTTTCAGACAGCAGCTCAGAGTTTCGGAGAGCCGCAGGATGACGGACTTCCAGCATAGTCGATGTCACGTGTTTTTAGTAGATGAGACTCCACCATAGTTGATATCTTCTTTCGGATATTTAGAGTTATGTATTTCATCTTATAAAGGCTATGTACCTTAGTTCATTTTTAGTTAACTCATATTGAGATACTTCACATTTATTTCAAACTTTAGTTGTATTCAGTTTATTCAGTTGAGACATGATTATATTAATTAGATATCTCTTTCTACATCATGTCTAATGCATTTATTTCCTTTATTTTTCATGTTTTGTACCTACACTTGTTGTTGATTCCACTAGAGAGATATTACTGTAATGGTGAAATGTGTTCTTGCACAGTGTGGGTGTATGACAGGTTTGATATCTCTAGGTTCACCTTGGACTGCAGCCATGTGTGAAAATAGGGGCGTCACACTAAGGCACTTACATATGCGGGCTACATCATTAATAGGCTGCATTCATTAGCGATAGAGGGGAAGACCCCTATGGAGAGATGACACATTAGTGCGGTCAGATTTGGAGAGACGACACATTGGTGCTCTTGTTAGTGTCAGCTCAGTTTTTTGAGATCACTTCGCTGAGGTGGAAAATTGTTGAAAGAGGGTGAAAATCAGGAAATCCGTAGCTAGAAAAATCCCTCTGATCGGTCGATCGAAATTTCGTATCGGTTGACCAAAAATATGCACAGTAGAAACTGGAAAAAATGTCACACTAGACTGTTGACCGATGAAGGCATTCGGTCGACCGATGAAGACCTACCGGTCGACTGATGAATTCCTATTAGTCAACTGATAGTGGGCAAAACAGATAAATTTGTTTCCCAGTCTGTTTTTTGAGTTAGGGTTTTGTATAAATAGATTTGCGTGTAGATTTTGATTAGAGAGTTATTATCATAGACTTTTGAGCACTTTGAGAGGAAAATTTTGAGGGTGAGTGAGATCTTGTTGGTTAGGCTTATTGTGATTGTTTGAGAGTTGTAACCCATTATATTTCTCCTCCATATAGTGAAATCTCTCCATCATCTCCCCGTAGATGTAGGCAACTTGTCGAACCACGTAATTCTCTGTTTTTGCGATAGATTTTGGCCGTTTTATTATGGATTGTGCTCGTTGTGTTCTTTGTGCATTACTTACCGACTTATTGTAGATTGAGTCCACTTCCGCTGGATGCAACATCTATACCATGTGGTTATGTTTAACCTAGACTGCTATAAATGCATACTATTCAATATACAAATATTCTCAATCTAAATTTAAAATTTCAATTTTTAAGTTAAATACAGATAGGTGTGAAATACATAAATTACACAATAATAGAAAGGGTCAATTCCACGAAAACCCCTAAAAAAGTTTTTTTGGGTGTTCGCGCAGGTG